AAATTAAGCTAATCGCACAAATGCAGGTATCAAATTTAGGCACAATTAGTTAAAATGCATTAACGCACATGTAGATGCAACCTGGCACTAACTTTAGTGCTGGGTCTGCCCAGCCACTAGGGGCACATGATAGGGCTTCAGGGATTTAGGATTAATTTTAATGCCAAGTGCACTAACTTTCATCCCAAGTCCCTGAACGTGCAGAAACCTGCCAAAAATTGTTTAATGCACATTAAATTTAGTGGCACTTAAATGCACTTCTAGCTGCATCCATAGTGTCTAGTGGCACATTAACATCAGTGAGTATCTTTTTTTAATTTGGACCCCAAAATACCAGCAGACTCTCTATGCCAGGGCTCCCCACATTGCTACTACTTATTAAGCTAGGAGACTGGCTTCAGTGGCATGGAATGTCTCTTCCAGTTTTATATCAGTAATCCCAGATTTAATATAAGGAAAATTTAGTGCAGATGAAACCTGTTTTATGAGGAAAGATAATTCATTTTACTCGCTATGAAACTTAATTACAGCATTTTTACTATGGAGCCATCACAGTTCTGTGCCCAAATTGTTTACTGTTTATCAAAAAATGATGAACCTCTTAAGTGAGGTGCTATTGGGACTGGTGAAGTAGGAATAATGAAAATAGTGCATACATATTTTAAATTATTTGGAATTTTTCACTTCATAGATTCATAGATGTTCGGGTTGGAAGGGACCTCAAAAGATCATCGAGTCCGACCCCCTGCATAGGCAGGAAAGAGTGGAGGGTTCAGATGACCCCAGCCAGATGCCCATCCAACCTCCTCTTGAAGACTCCCAGGGTAAGGGAGAGCACCACCTCCCTTAGAGACCCATTCCAGCCCTTGGCCACTCTAACTGTGAAGAAGTTCCTAGTAATGTCCAGTCTACATCTGCTCTCTGCTAGCGTATGGCCATTATTTCTTGTGACCCCCAGGGGTGCCTTGGTGAGTACAGCCTCCCCAAATCCCTTCTGCGCCCCCATGATGAATTGATAGGCAGCCACAAGGTCGCCTCTCAACCTCCTCTTGCAGACACTGGAGAGGTCCAGGTGCCCTAGTCTCTCCTCATAAGGCCTGCAAGCCCTTAACCATACGAGTGGCCCTTCTCTGGACCCTCTCTAGGTTATCCACATCCCCCTTGAAGTGTGGCGCCCAAAACTGCACTTCAGTCTTTACAAACTGTTTGGGAAATAATTTAAAATCTTTCTAAACATGTTTGACACATGGATTTTGTAAGGAGGGGGCAGGGGAATAATATTCAGCTACACTTAAGAAAATATTAGCAAAGTCAATAATGCATGGTGATGTGGATGCTCAGAAGCAAGGCTGCAAATCTGGCTTCAGACCCAGTTTTCCTTCAGTTTATTTTTTATAGCATGGTAAAGAAACTTTCCACACCAGAACTGAGAGTGAAACTGATACTTAAACCTCACACTGATAGGGCATTTGGGGCTAAATCCCCTTTTCAGGGTTCACAGTATCTAACTTTCACATGCCCTACTGCTTTCTGGGCTCTTCAGCTTTAGGTTAAGTGCCCAAGCTCCCTTCTGTAACTGCATGAAGTGAGCTGGCATGGAAGGAACAGAAGGCAGCATGCTAGGCTAGGAGCTGCTTAGCCCAGGTAGCAGGAAATGGTAAGGTGATGGGAAGAGAGATCCCAGGGGGTCTGTCTCGAAGCAGAAAAATCTGGGACACAGCTTCCAGGTCTTGAGGGGACCCATTCCTATGCAGGAATTCTCAGGATGCACAGGATCAGGTCCCGCAAGCCCCAGAAGCACATGTTGCCTAGTGTCCTGTGGCATCTGTGGGTGGGATAACAGGTGATGATTCAAACCCCATTGATAGCCTGGTAGTCAAGGCATTCTCCTCAGGGCCTGGGAGGTACGGCTCTGAACCCATGAATATGAGTGAATTGACCATGCATCTCTCACTTTTGGGGGGAAGTGCTCTCACTCATGCTTTCTCTCCTCCAGCCACATATTCCACATGAGCCCTCCTTACTTCTTTGGAGGAATAGCTGTAGGTTTCTGCTGCCTTCAGAAGTTGCTTCTAAGCTATGAATCCTGAGTGGATGGCAGCAGTGAATCAAGGCCAGAAATTGCTCATCTTTGGAACTTAAAAGCAGAGTTTATGGTAAATAGTTCATTGACTGGTTCTGGGCAGCTCCCTGAATACTGATGTAATTGGTGTTATGGATTACTCTTCTGAGGTGTCCAGCTCGCCCCATGTACTGTAAAGAGAGCACATGCTTACAGATCTACATACTATGGGCACATCTACACATGACATTACTGTGCAGTAACTTATGTCTGCACATGCGCGCCCGTACTGTGCAGTAACTATGGCCACTTATGCCAAGTTGGGGGTAAATTTGCTACCTGCCTCATGCAGGGTCCACACAAAAGCAGCAAGAGACGATGGTGGCGCCTGTTGCATAATGCAGGTAGCAAATGCATGATGCAGGTAGCAAATTTATGCCCACTTAGTTATTGTGCAGTCAGGCATTTGGACATGCGTTACTGTGCTGTAACACTGCATGCGCACAGTAACTTTACTCCCAAGTCAGATCACACATGGCATTACTGCGCAGTAACACCTACACCTGTAGATACTGATCTAAAAGCGACTTACTGCACAGTAAATGCATGTGTAGACACACCCTATGTGGGGGACAGTAACTCAGAAGACAGGGACTGTAGTAGTAAAGTTCTTTCCTGAATATAGCTTTGATCTCCAAAAGGTGTTAGTGTTGCAGCATGCAATACATCAGTACCTAACTTTTCAGTAGCTTGCACTCATGGCATCCGCAGCCCTGGGTTAATTTCACCTTGGCTCCCTGTACAGTGTATAGGAGGAGCCAGGCACCTCATAAAGGGTATCTATGCTCCAAGCAATATTCATATATTTACTATGAAAGTCTCTGGAAAAGACAGCAATTGGAGCAGGGACTGGAGTGCAGGTCTCATCACTCTCTTTTGTGTTTCTAACCATGCGCACACAATCTTTATTCCATGCCAAATAGAACAAATTCAGTAGCAGAGCAGCTTTGAACAGGAAATTAAACTGTGGTCTCCTGCTGCATAAGGCAAGTGCTTCAAGCATTTCATAGATTCATATATGTTAGGGTCAGAAGAGGGACCTCAATAGATCATCGAGTCCAACCCCCAGCATAGACAGAAAAGAGGGGTGGGTTCAGATGACCCCAGCCAGAATCCCATCCAACCTCCTCTTGAAGACCCCCCAAGGAAGGGGAGAGCACCACCTCCCTTGGGAGCCCATTCCAGACCTTGGCCGCTCTAACTGTGAAGAAGTTCCTAGTAATGTCCAGTCTAAATCTGCTCTCTGCTAGCATATGGCCATTATTTCTTGTGACCCCCAGGGGCGCCTTGGTGAGTAGAGCCTCCCCAATTCCCTTCTGCGCCCCCACGATGAATTTATACGCAGCCACAAGTTTGCCTCTCAGCTTCCTCTTGCGGAGGCTGGAGAGGTCCAGGTGCCCTAGTCTCTCCTCATAGGGCTTGGCCTGCAAGCCCTTAACCATATGAGTGGCCCTTCTCTGGACCCCCTCCAGGTTATCCATATCCCTCTTCAAGGGTGACACCCAAAACTGCACACAGTATTCCAACTGCAGTCTGACCAACGTCTGAAAGAGGGGAAGCATCACCTCCTTGGTTCTGTTTGTCATGCATCTGCTGATGCATGATAAAGTGCAGTTAGCTTTTCTAATGACTTCGTCACACTGACGACTCATGTTCATCTTGGAGTCTACTAGGACTCCAAGATCCCCTTCCACTTCTGTGCTACTGAGCAGGTAATTTTCTAGGCAGTAGGCGTGCTGGACATTTTTCCTCCCTAGGCGCAGCACTTTGCATTTCTCCTTGTTAAATCACATTCTATTGTTTTCTGCCCATTTGACCAACCTGTCCAGGTCTGCCTGTAGTTGTTCCCTGCCCTCCGGTCTGTCCACTTCTCCCCAGTTAAACTACTGGATTTGATGGGCTAGTTATAGCAACAGACACAACCATCTTCTCTTGCTGCTTTTGTGTAGACCCCAGTCAGGTAAGCATACTTCAGAAATGCTTACTGAATTGTGCTTTGCAGGCAAAGGGGCAGTGAAAACACCTAATAATCACACTTCTCAATGAACCACCCGGTAAGGCTCTCAGTTTTTAGCATTGTCAAACCTGAGATGCTTCTGGTCCTGCACAGAAGCAGGTTCTAAGTCTCCTAAGGACTTTAAAAGGCAAAAAGTGAGTACCTCAGGATTTCAAACACTTCAAGTGTTGTGGGGGAGGAAGATGGGTTGAGGCTGGCAACAGGTGCCCAAGTCATTTTATGGATTTAGTCTGGCAATCTTCCTCACAATTCTGCCCACTATTCTTTATGGTAGGTACTGCCTGTAGGGAAAACCACATCCTATTAAGAAAAGCAACCAGTGCCCACTAAAACCTGGTGTGGTGTTTAATTGTGCTATAGGAAAAGATAGAAGCTGTTTGCCACTAGCTTTTTATTTAGTTTTTAGGCAGTTTTTTCAAGGCTGTTGATTTAGGTATTCAGTTGGGTAACCTATGAGGTAGGAAGACTGCTGCAATTAACTCTTGGTGGAAAACAGTATTTACATAAAAGAGACTGGATTGAATAAAAGAAGACACAAACGTGTACACAGCTCCAAAGTAAGCACTGTACTGGGGGTAGGACAAACTTGCAAAAGTTCTGATGTTAAGGAGAAAAATGACACATTACCTTCACTTTCCTCTCTCACAAAAGAAGGTGAGGGAGGAGAAAAGACACCGAGTGAGCATAGGGCTGTTTTGCCATCCTCCCACATTATTTTTCTAAAATAACTGGAGGCAGAGAGCTGAATTATTAGGTCCTGTCTGGAAACTGGTCATAATTCATCTTCAGCTTCATGATGCATCCCCTTTTAGCAATGTCACACCAATGCTCCAGGTGGAGAAAAAAGGTCATCAGTATGTCTCCCATTTTGTCAAAATCATTTTATTAAAGAGTTAGTGTCACACCAGAACAAGAAACACATGCTTCTGAAATAAGTTTGATGACAAATGTTCTGAACAGAAAACCTGAAGGCATTAAAGGCATGTAATAAGCAGTAGTGGTACCAAACTTTTGCTGTGCATGTGCAAATTCTGTTGGTGCAATGGAAAATTCAGAAAGGATGCAGTCTGGCAGTATTTTTGGTCTTGTGTAGTACAGTTTGTCTAATAATTTAGATCAGAGAGAGCATGAATACCACAGCTCAAGAGACCCAAATATAATCTTTCAGTAGTTGGCCCCAGCAGGAATTTTTCACTATGAATACTAACAAAACAAATTTAGTTGACATCTCAACACAGCAGTAATATATATACAATAGTTATTGGACTCATGCAGCTTCTTTCATTACATGATTTTTTTTTGATTTACACCAGAAACATTATAAAAAAATAGGTCTGTAATTTGTATTTCACTCTAGCATTAGCTCTGTATCACCTCAGGCAAAGACAGTGTTTCAGCAGGTATGCTAATATGGCAAGAAATCTGCCCTAAATTTTAATTTCATTTTGTAAGTCCACATAGAAAATAAATGCAAACTCTTTATACAAAACAAGAGCAAATAATTGTACCTATAGAAAAGGGGGCTAAATCCCTTTAGTTTTATTATAATGGCATGTACTTCATACTTTCACAACAGCATACTGATTTTGTTTTAGTCTTCTAAACCCAAAAATAGTGTTGATGAATGAAGGAATGTGAGTTACCATAGGCAGCAGACTCATGCATTGAGCAATTCATGTTCTTTATCTGTTTTCCCAACTGCATCAGGATTGGATAGTGGGTCAAGGTCAGCAAAAAGACTGAACCAAGCAGTGAGATCTTTCGGATTCTTTGCAGGTTCTGGGAAAAAAAGTTCAGGAAAAAGATTCAGAGTTCTGCTTGAGTTATGCTCAAAATAGCTGAAAAGTGACAGGTCTAATCAAATGCCATCAGCATTGTTTAACTACTGAAACAGCAAATCTCTAGCAAAAACAGGGCAATGAATTACATTATAACACAGTACCTTCAGAAAATGAAACATCCTATCCTGTAAAAATGCCTGTAGCATTTGTAGTTACATGCACTCCAGCATGGTAAGTGTCTGATCATTTCCCAATTATTTACCAATAGAAATAATCTCTTTCTTGCCTATTGGAGAAATCGCTCAACTACTTCATACATGTTTTGTTTGCTTATTTGTGCATGAAGGAAAGTTAAGTAGAAGAAGTGAATTTTGCATTCAGATGTTGGCACGGTCAGTCCCACAGTTTAATCACATGTTGTATGGGAGTGAATACTTGAGCCTGGTTCCAATTCCTATGAAAGCTCTTTCCTTCCCTTCCCTTCCCTTCCCCACTAAGCCTATGATCTTTGTTCTCCTGAAATGGAGCTTGGATGAAGATCATAGTTGTGGAGAGAAAGGAGGAGCCAGGGACAACTCACGTGGGCCTTGAATACTGGAAGAGAGCTCTTGAATTACATTCTTTCTTTCTGGGAGACGGTTTGAGCAAAAGTGTTCACAGAAACCTGGGCTTTTGTAGTTACAGACTGCTGCATTTTGTACCAGTTGCATCTTTTCAGGGTTAGCAGCTTCATTTTTAGATAGAATCAATTGCAGTAAACAAGCCTGGAACTCACATATGTTATGATTCTTATAGCCAAGTGTACATCTGGGGCTGCAAAGGAAAGTGTATCATTTTCCCTATTCCAGTATCAAATAGCATGCAAGAATCCAAAGAAACCCTTCCCTCACCCAAAAGAATAACTTGCATCTTTGATGACCTTCTAAGGTCAACCTTAAAGGAGGGAGCCAGGCCATTTCAGAGTTGTTTAATTCATCCATGATGTCTTGTGTAGATGGTGCAAGAGTAACTGGTTATCAGTGGTCTCATTTATGAGAGATGGAGCAGAAAGCCCAGTGAAGCATTTTTTTTTTACCAATGACCAATATGAAGTCTTCTACTAGAATAAGTATTGCCTCACTTCCATGCCCTGGTCTGAAAGCTCAGAGCACGCGATCCAGAATACTGGCAGTGAAGACTGACTTTCTGTTTCCTCCTCAGTTAGCTTAGTCAGAAAAAGGAGAAAAGATTCTGGATGACAGTTCGCACATTTTGTAGCACAGGACAATATTTTTGGTTCTTGCTGCTGTCAGACTGTTTGTACTTTTTCTTAGGATGAATTCCTGAATGGAGAAGGAAATTGTATTTCTGATTCTGTACTCAACTTATTGTATTTGGCAACCTATGGAGTCAGCCCAGATGTACTTCTTCTTCTTTATGAAATAAGATACTTCCTCACAATGGGAAGTATTGCCTTCCTGGAGTTTGAATGGAGACAGTCTTGGCTCATGAAACAATTTATGAACACAGAGCTCTACAGAGGAAGACTTTGCCCACTGTCAGAAAAGTAAAATCTCCTTGCTGCCTTCATAAATATGGGTATAGCCTTTAGCTTAATGAAGTGAATGAGGCAGTGTTATATACATGCAATTTTCTAATGCAATTATCACAATTGCATCCTCTCCACCCACTCATAACAATTTCTAAAATAAATGTCAACCCCATCTGAATATGGAGAAAAATCATTTGCACAAGGAAACAAAAATGTATACAAGATAGTCCATTGCTAATCTCTTCTGCATCAGAGCTCTTAGAGGGAGCCTGTCTATGTATTGGCTCAGTAGCTGTTTCACTTCATGTGCCTAAATGGCACTTACCCAGCTGCAGAGCTGCCACTTTTGGTACTCCCACATACTTTGTGATCTTATTCTATGTGCAATGGGCATACACAGGCATCCAGTTGGCCACTGAGCATGTGCAGTAGGTCACACTCTGGCTGGGCAGGTACAGAAAATGTGGAAAAGTGTAAGTCACAAAACTGTAGATGGGCCAAACCACAATGTTTAGTGGGTGCCAGGATTGTGGAGGTGGAGAAAGGCTCTCCCATATCTCCACCTGACTGTCTAGTGGTTAGAGCATTCTCTGCGGTCCAGGTTCTGCAGCTCCCCTCAAGGAGATCTGAGCCTCTCTTACTCCAGCTGCCAGAACACCACTTTAGCCACCAGTCCAGAGGTTAGGCACCACTCCTTTTGAAGCTGGCCTTTCTGGGCAGCCAAGAGTGGACAATATGTGGGGCCTAGAGGCAGAGAAGAAGCCAGTGGCCTGGTGAGATGGATGCCACTCTGGAAGGTGAAGGGCCCTGGGTTTTGGTTTTGATTCTTGTTCCTGATGGGGTAAACACTTCCCTACTGTTCTCCATCCATTTTATCCAGTGTACAGTAAATGACAGGCACAGTGGCTCAGCTTCAAAAGAAGCGCTGCAGAGACGCCTGGATAATTTGTACTCTGTGGCCTGGTGTTAGAAGCGCTATGCTGAGAAATTATAGATGCAGGTTCAATCCCCCTCTGGATGGGGACATGCCCTACAACCTCAGTTGCCCATTTCCTGGGTGAGTGCCCTAACCACTTGGATACTGGACCAACACATAGCCAGGCTCCCCTGCTCTCTGTTTTTGGTAGGCCACAATTTTGGAACTCATGCTCATATAGGCAGTCCTGTACCTGCCCAGCCAGAGTCCAGCCAGCCAAGCATGTGTGGTAGCCAGGCTGATGCTTATGCACCCACCCTGCACAAGAAATGAGAATTCAAATTGTGCTTAAGTGCCAAACATGGCAGTTACATGGTGGAGGAAGTGCTATTTGGGCGAGAAAAGTCAAATAGGATTCTGCCTGTTGTGCATGCAAGATGAGTTTACACAAACAGTGAGCTTTTCACTCGCACTCGACTCCATCTGTTAGAAATTCCCGTGCAAAACCAATGGGAGTTTTGTAGCACCCTTTGCTTTGCAGGGCCAGGTGGTAACAAGTAAACTATATTTCAATCAGATCAATAGTTGTGTGGTGTATACCATTTACATCATAAAAATGTATCACGCTTCAGCCTCGCTATCCTCTCTGATGTTCAAAACAAGCAGGGTTCAGGTCAAATGCAGAGGCAACTCTACGGCCCTGAATTTTACAGTGGAAGAAATCCAGTGGTTTTACTCTACAATCAGAACCTAAATGATTGTTCATTACATTCCACCAGCATTAAAACAATCAAATAAATATACTTACATAATTCAAATTATCCATGTTGGAATATAATCTTAATAATTAAGTATTTAATTAATGTACAAGATTCCTGAAGGTAAATATTAAGAAATAGATCATAAAGTGGTAGAGTAACTGGGAATACTGCAAAGATTGGATTAGTGATTGCAAGTGATTCAGAATCCCTCTTCCCCCTCAAAATAATGAATGTATCACCTTTCACAGGCGTCTTGTTGGCATTCACATTCAAGCTGTTTGATTTCTGTGCTGGCTGTGGTATCGATGGAGGGCTAACACTGTTAGCTGCCCAACCTAAAATTCAATAATGTAGTTATATTAGTGTCAATCAACAATAATTAATGAACTCATACCCCTTGGATGCTTTCAGTGAAATACTTGTATCATTCAAAGGAGTCATATACTTGCCTCACCCATGTGTTATGCTCATATTTTTCTTTCTTCTGATAGAAATTAGAAATTAAATTCTGCAACCCAGCAATGTCCTTGAGAAAACAGTGCATCTGCTGACCAGTCTCAGGCCATCATGTGCTTTCCATCTGCACTGTCAAACCTCCATCGTCTCTTAAAGAGCACTCTGCCTACGTCCAACTATGGTCAATATTTTTTTCCACCTCAATTAGTAGCTACCACAGAAGCCCCAGTTAGGTGTATGCATGTGAAGGAGGAGTGTGTGAAGAGGATTTAACATTTTCGCTGCGGGGGTGGGGGAAATAACTGAAGTAGCTAAAGTCTGACAAATGCTGCACTTTCCACTCCCCTTCTATTTGGCAGTTCAGAGCCTCATTTTATTTACTGGCCCAAGTGAAATATCTAATGGGATGCTGTTAACCTGAGCTATTTTTTTTAAATAAATTTAAAAAATTTTTTTTAATTTAAATTTTGAAAATTCCAGCTGATTAAAAAACACCTGTAAATAAAATGTTCTGAATTGTATTCCTTAAATATTTTTCTAAGGATTTTTTTCTTTCTATCTCTTTATAAAGATGTATTCAGCAAGCAGAAGCTTGCTTAGCAAGAGAAACAGCAATGCTGTCTATAAACAAAGATGCGTTTTGTCAAATGCTACATGTAGACTCTATAGTCAACAGTGGCACAGAACTGACTCATTTTAATACCAAGAAAGCCATATGTGCCTGCGAGATGAGTTAAAAGGAAAATGTCTTCTGCTGTGAGGTAACAGTAGGTTATATAATCAGTGGGACCAGCAATGGAGAAAAATGTTCATGTGCAATACGCTGCTGTATTAGGTTGTTAAACATGCCCTGAAAAAATACTGGAAAAAGAAATCTCCTCCCCTATCTCCCAAGTTCTTTCATGTAAAAGTTATCTAAGCTGCTACTTGTAATTATAAAAGGTTTAAGTTATTTAAGTCCTTCCATTGTTATACTTTTAGGAGCATAACTATCACGTGTTGCGCTGTCTCTGGGGGTAGCCAGCTTATTGGTCCTAGTAATTCAATCATGTTTTTTGATGTTTTTCCTTGTAAACTTACCTATTCATCTATCAATCTTAAGGACCTAATTCTATGATATCATAAGTATAAGCATAAACATTGAAGGACTTAAATAACTCAACCCTATGATAATTACAAGTAGCAGCTTAGATAACTTTAAATGAAAAAACTTGGGGGCTGGGGAGAAGATGCATATTGAGATATATCAATTATGGCATTTATAATATCCTCCTTTGACATCATTTCTCCCTCTTGCTATGACTCCATGCTTCTTTTTCTCTCCTCATTCCTCTTTCCTTTCTCTGTCCTTCCTCTTTTTTTTTTTTGCCTCTCTGATAGACACTGGGTCCTTATATCATTTGGATTTCTTTTGGAGTTCACTATTTTAGATAAACATCACTATAACAGTTCTTGCTCTTTTCAGTCCTTTGCTATTCCTGTACTGATCTGACCTCTATCTATTTGATTGATAGGTAGAGTGGTTTTCCTCTTTTATGATAGAAGCCAAAGCCACTTTGTATGAAATATCTGCTGTCCCTTTTAATAATAACAGAAATTACAGATGATAAAGATTTTTAAGTCACTGAATCCTTCTCCTGCACATCAGCAGAAGGCTGTCACAACCTCTAAGGAAAAAAAAGCAGATGGAGGTCCACTCTTCACCTATTGTTGTACACGCAAATAAGGAAACAGTAGCAGAAACATGTTAGTTAATCTCTAGCCCCCCAAAATACGGCTTTATGTTTTAGTTTAACCATTTAACATGTAGAATTTTAACTCACTCAGTATTTTAGACTGACTAACATTTTAGGCACTTTCTGTGGTTGTAGTAAGAGAGAGACAGACAAGAAAGAATATACTACAATTACAGAAAACTGTAATGCTTTCGCTAGCTCGGAAATGTGTTGAAAGCAACGTGTGTGTCAATTGCTGGCAATACACAGGTTGAGTGGGTAAAGCAAATAAAGCCTAATCCTAATTTCATAGAAATTAATGGAATTTTGGCCTGGAAACTTTCCATAAAACTACCACTGACTTCAGTGAGATCAGGATTTGGCTCACAGAGAATTAACTAATGGTGATTTATTATGATACAATTGGCAGACCACAAAACTAAACACTGTAGAACAGTAAATCCTTTTATGCGATTTTTCCTTTTTTTCCTCCTTGGACTAAGATTGGGTGAGCCAAACACCTATGATAGAGACACCCTGCTCTGCTTTCACTGTCCTAGAACACAGACAGTTCAACACCTACATTTAGGGTGGCCACGGCCCCACCCCCAGAATATAGGGCTTCCCCATGGTGGGATGGGGGGGGGGG